GTTTTAGTTAGTTAGTTAGTTAGTTAGTTAGTAGTTAGTTAGTTAGTTAGTTAGTTAGTTAGTTAGTAGTTAGTTAGTTAGTTAGTTAGTTAGTTTAGTTAGTTAGTTAGTAGTTAGTTAGTTAGTTAGTTAGTTAGTTAGTTAGTTAGTAGTTAGTTAGTAGTTAGTTAGTTAGTTAGTTAGTTAGTTAGTTAGTTAGTTAGTTAGTTAGTTAGTTAGTTAGTTAGTTAGTTAGTTAGTTAGTTAGTTAGTTAGTTAGTTAGTTAGTTAGTTAGTTAGTTAGTTAGTTAGTTAGTTAGTTAGTTAGTTAGTTAGTTAGTTAGTTAGTTAGTTAGTTAGTTAGTTAGTAGTTAGTTAGTAGTTAGTTAGTTAGTTAGTTAGTTAGTTAGTTAGTTAGTTAGTTAGTTAGTTAGTTAGTTAGTTAGTTAGTTAGTTAGTTAGTTAGTTAGTTAGTAGTTAGTTAGTTAGTTAGTTAGTTAGTTAGTTAGTTAGTTAGTTAGTTAGTTAGTTGTTAGTTAGTTAGTAGTTAGTTAGTTAGTTAGTTAGTTAGGTTAGTTAGTTAGTTAGTTAGTTAGTTAGTTAGTAGTTAGTTAGTTAGTTAGTTAGTTAGTTAGTTAGTTAGTTAGTATAGTTAGTTAGTTAGTTAGTTAGTTAGTTAGTTAGTTAGTTAGTGTTAGTAGTAGTTAGTAGTTAGTAGTAGTAGTTAGTTAGTTAGTAGTTAGTTAGTAGTTGTAGTTAGTTAGTTAGTTAGTTAGTTAGTTAGTTAGTTAGTTCGTTAGTTAGTTAGTTAGTTAGTTAGTTAGTTAGTAGTTAGTAGTTAGTAGTTAGTTCGTTAGTTAGTTAGTTTTCCCAGGGTATCGATAGATAAGAGCGCATCACTAAAATCTCGGATTTGTGTTGTTTAGACTTCAGACACAATTACACCATTTTCTACAGGATTTTCTTTTTAATAGAAAAATATTTCAATTTATTTCCTACTTTACACAATGGTTTAATGCTTATTACAATACAAACTTTTTATCTCTAAACTGCAAAAGTTTTCCCATTGTTAAGTGACAGGATAATATACTCAGTGTTTCTTTTACTGTATCCTTTTTTATATTTTTCTAAGAAAAAGTTTTTATAAAAAAGGATTATTATTATTTTATTTTGTTATTGCAGTTGTAGTTGTTTATTTAATTTTAAATACACATGTAATTGCTGACAACAACATTTATTTATTTATGTAGATACAATTTGATATTTATACTTTCACCCCTTAGCAACTATTATAGAGATTAAAGTTTACGATAAAGTTAGTAATATGTAAAAGATTAGAATTTAATATTTCATGTACTGGCTATCAGTTGTCTTTCCCAAAGATGGGGGTCCGAGGGAAATGAAATAAGAGTAGAAATAGTTTTAGCATAATACTTGGTACAATTTCAAAATTAAAATTTTCTACTTCTCTAGATATTTCGTCAGAGAGTATATTTCTCTAGTATCTCCCTGGCTGTTATATTGCCCCACATTTTAAAGCTTTACATTTAAGTTTACCTTTTTCAATTATAAAAACTTTTACAGGTCTGCGTATGCCTTGTGTATTTAAAATGCAAGCAATGACATGTTGTTGCTTGCAGATTTTATGCAAATCTTATATGTATCAAAAATGTATACTTTCGATTTAATATTTATAAAAGTGTATTTTATTATTTACAATCAAGCATTGTTTGCAAAAGTACAAAATCCTTACAGTAAATAATAAAATAATATATGTGTTTGTATGTATGTATAAATACTATTTCATTTATATTTTGTAAAGCAAACAAACAGTTGATGTTGATTCTTTACTATCAAAAGCAGTAGTAAAAACATAAAAACAAAATGGAGATAAACCGAAATGTATTAAATTGTAATAAAAACAGTAAAAGCCACAAGCAATTTGATGGGTTTTTTCTTAATATTTTATTATTATTTTTTGGTAAAGAATATAAGTTTGACAACTCTTTAAATTGATTTATACTTTTATACTGCAATAAATTCCAATGCTAATAGAGTTCAAAAAGAACTACTTTATGCAAGATACCCTCACCTTTTCTTATTTAAAAGTTGAAATTTTAAAAATTAACACCTTGGTTTTTCCTTGTTATTTAACATAAATTATTTCTCACAATAAATTCAATTTAATTTACTATTACTTTGCACAATTTGCAATTAAAAAACTCATTATTTTTTAAATAAAATAAACTTTTATTTTTATGAAAAAAATATATATACAAATCAACAACAACCAAAATAGATTAAAAATGTAAATTAATTTTCAAATAAACACAACTGAAAGCTAATGCCTTTCTTCTGTGTTGTGTGTTTTCATTTAATGTTTTTCACTCATTTTTATTGGCGGCACGTAGTCTGGTTTTGTAAAACAAAACAAAATGCAGACAAAAACACCCACATTGTGGTATCATTGAATTGTTAAATGATTTAATTAATTCGCTAAATAAGTAAAATACAAATTCAGAAATAATAATAATAATAATAAATTCTAATCAAAACAATTTGTCATGAAAATTTTTATTAATTTATTGTTTAGGAGGCGTATAAGTGATATTGAACTTTATTTTAATACTCATACGTCACCTGCTGAGTACACAGGTTTTTCAAAAATTTCTCTAAAAATATGTTCTGGGTTAAAAAAAAAATCAATAAACTTTTTGTTTTATAGAAAATATTCAATAAATTTATATTTAGGGAAAATTTTATACTAAATTTTTCGTTTTATAGAAAATTTTCGACAAATTTTCATTTTACAGAAATTTTGGGTTAATTTTTCGTTTTGATTAAAAAATTCTCATTTTATAGAAAATTTTCCATAAAAAAAATTTTTCTTTTTATAGAAAATTTTCCATAAAAAAAATTTTTCTTTTTATAGAAATTTTCCATAAAAAAAATTTTTCTTTTTATAGAAAATTTTCGATAAAATTTTTCTTTTTATAGAAAATTTTTCGATAAAATTTTTCTTTTTATAGAAAATTTTCGATAAAATTTTCATTTTATAGAAAATTTTCGATAAAATTTTCATTTTATAGAAAATTTTCGATAAAATTTTCTTTTTAACTAAAAATTTTCGATAAAATTTTCCTTTTATACAAAATTTTCGATAAAATTTTCTTTTTATAGAAAATTTTCGATAAAATTTTCTTTTTATAGAAAATTTTCGATAAAATTTTCTTTTTATAGAAAATTTTCGATAAAATTTTCTTTTTATAGAAAATTTTCGATAAATTTTCTTTTTATAGAAAATTTTCGATACATTTTTTTTATATAGAAAATTTTCGATAAATTTTCTTTTTATAGAAAATTTTCGATGAATTTTCTTTTTATAGAAAATTTTCGATAAATTTTCTTTTTATAGAAAATTTTCGATAAATTTTCTTTTTATAGAAAATTTTCGATAAATTTTCTTTTTATAGAAAATTTTCGATAAATTTTCTTTTTATAGAAAATTTTCGATAAATTTTCTTTTTATAGAAAATTTTCGATAAATTTTCTTTTTATAGAAAATTTTCGATAAATTTCTTTTTATAGAAAATTTTCGATAAATTTTCTTTTTATAGAAATTTTCGATAAATTTTCTTTTGATAGAAATTTTCGATAAATTTTCTTTTTATAGAAAATTTTCGATAATCTATAGAAATTTTCGATAATTTTCTTTTTATAGAAATTTTCGATAAATTTTCTTTTTATAGAAAATAAATTTTCTTTTTATAGAAAATTTTCGATAAAATTTACTTTTTATAGAAATTTTCGATAAAATTTTACTTTTTATAGAAAATTTCGATAAAATTTACTTTTTATAGAAAATTTCGATAAAATTTTACTTTTATAGAAAATTTTCGATAAAATTTTACTTTTTATAGAAAATTTTCGATAAAATTTTACTTTTTATAGAAAATTTTCGATAAAATTTTACTTTTTATAGAAAATTTTCGATAAAATTTTACTTTTATAGAAAATTTTCGATAAAATTTTACTTTATTAGTAGAAAATTTTTCGATTAAAATTTCCCTTTTTATAGAAAATTTTCGATAAAATTTCCCTTTTTATAGAACAATTTTCGATAAAATTTTACTTTTATAGAAAATTTTCGATAAAATTTCCCTTTTTATAGAAAATTTTCGATAAAATTTCCCTTTTTATAGAAAATTTTCGATAAAATTTCCCCTTTTTATAGAAAATTTTCGATAAAATTTCCCTTTTTATAGAAAATTTTCGATAAAATTTCCCTTTTATAGAAAATTTTCGATAAAATTCCCTTTTTATAGAAAATTTTCGATAAAATTTCCCTTTTTATTTCGATAAAATTTTCCTTTTATAGAAATTTTCGATAAATTTTACATATTATATAAAATGTTCGAATAAAATTTTCCCTATTATAGAAAAATTTCGATATAAAATTTCTTTTTATAGAAATGTTTCGATAAAATTTCCTTTTATAGAGACATGTTCGATAAAATTTCTTTTTTTAGAAAAATTTTCGATTAAAATTTTCTTTTTTTAGAAAAATTTTAGATAAAATTTTAATTTCTTTAGAAAAAATTTCCATAAAATGTTCGTTTTTTATAAAAAATTTCGCTTAATATTGTATCAGTTTTCCCAACAAAAACTCTTGTTCGAAAACATATTTATTTTTACTTTGCCAAACAGATTCATTCAATTTATTTCAACATTCGCTTGAATTTCAACAATTCCTAGCAATTTACCACAATTTTAAAAACATAAAATAAAACCCCAAAAAACTTTAAGCCACAAAAATATCACACGAATTGCATTTCATGCAAACTACAAACATGCCAACAACAAAACACAAAACAAATTGAAAAATAAATTTATTTATTGCAACTAAAAGAATAAAAATACTATATTTTTTCATTAAATTCCTTAAACTCTCTTTTTAATCTTTTATATATTAATTATTTTTTATTTGTTTGTTTGTTTTTTCTCGTTTTTCTTGTCAACAGTTGACAGTCGTCATTTAAAAGAGTCTATAGAACGTGCAGAATTTTCATTACAACTTGAATTGTGGTTTTGCTGAACAGAATGGTTCTGCCTCGAATTTATCCTTGGCATCAACGCGTACATTACAACTTAACTTTCATCCAGGACGTGGTTTACACTATCACTTGCCCGTATTATTGATTATTTTCACTTGGCTGCCGTAAGTGTGGGCATACATGCAAGTTTGGTGGCATTGCATCAGCCATATATCAAGTAAGTAGTAAATAGAAAAAGCAAATCATCTACATCCCTATAGCAAGAACTACTGAATATCTGTATAGAGGAAAACAAAGTGCATTCATAAAAGCAAAAAACAAACATGAAAAGTTGGTGCAATTTTTTTAAGACTATAACTAACTAACAACCATCAGCTTATGTCACGAAGAGTGGTAGTAAACAAATTTTTAGTTAGTTGATGGTGGTGTTGCACATGCAACAGTATAAGTATGATGCCTTCAACAGCAAGTATCCTTTTACACTCACCTATTCATACATATTCATAATGTCATTCTATTCAGCGTTTTTGTGCAGAACAATATAAAAAGACTTTACAACACAAAGATTGCAAGAGCAAGCCTTCATTTTGTTTTTCTATGCTGTTGAAAACTGGTATTTGAATAAAATTATGATGTTAATGATGGTGATGACGTCCACGGCGATGATGATGATGATCTTTAATGTGAATGAAGCCTAAAGTATATAATGCACTTGCTATGAAATCATATTATCAACACAACAGTAAATTCAAAATAAAACCACAACTACATATACATATGTTGTCTGTATACAGACTGGAATATGGTAAAACAAAGAATGTTGAAAACATTGTTCCGTATTCTTGTTCGAAAATATTATTAAAGCCTCTTACACCAAATGGTAGAGGTATGCATAGTTAATCATTTCATTGGTGACAAGTCTAGCTTTAGTTTTAGACTAAACTGCCCTAAAATTGCCCTTTTATGGTAGTAACTTTTCACTCGAAGTTCTAAGACATTCCAGGCTGAATCCAA